GTGGCAGGGGGGGGGGTCTGATTTTCTATTTGATAGCTCTGTAACCAAACAAAATTGAAGGCTATAAAAATTATGGTTTGTCCGAGCATTGACGATTTTATAGTGAGTAATTTATGTTTAATTTCATACATTTTGGAGGGGTAGTGGATAAAATAGAGAGAAGAAGATACCTAGAGAAAATGTGTCACACTAGGGGAAATTTAAGATTTTTTTAAATATTGTCTTGTAGAATTAAGGACTTAAAACTTGTATACTATTGAAATATGTATTATTAGCTAAGATTTTATGCTATACTAACTGGTATAACATAAAAAGTAGATTAATAAAATTTTGAATGTAAGACACTAAAACTTTGTGTCATGCGCAGTAAAGGATACCCATGGCAATAGGGTTAATACGAAACATATAATTGGTAGTGGTGATGAAACTCGGGGCTAGTGTCTGATTTGCTAGCAGGAAAGACACGTTTCTATTAGTGGATGCCACTTGCTATCTTCCATGCAAAAAACTCATTTAATTGCCAGTTAGTGGACAAAGATGTCACAGAAAAAGCTAGCAAGAAACAAAGATAATAGTTATTTACTTGAACAACTTTCCACATCCAAACTAAACTGAAAGAAAATAAAGAAATTTCCAAGAACTTACAGGGTAACTAAGTGAATAGACACCATATCCTACAGTCCTGGATTGTATTTCATCCTCTCTTTATTTTTAGACTGACCTGGCCATCCCTAATTCTAAAACTACAGAAACAAAAGTAACTTTAATTGCATGTCCCTTGAGAAATTGTATAACTTATCATCTCTCCAATAAAATCACTTGCCCAACAATACTACCAATACTACAAAGAAAAATGGTTACACAGTTTACCTACCCCTTCAGGAGAGGATAGTCTAACAGACTGAGAATGACAAAACCATAAAAAAAAAAAAGAATATACCCTTAAGCAAAGAAAGTTGCATATACAAAAAACATATGCATTTGAACAATGATAATGGATGTAAAAATACCCATTAACATGCATCAACTGCGAGCACAACAAAATTTCTTCCGAAACAGCATTTGTACTTAAAAATTACATTCTCTTTTTAAATTATAACATATTAAAAAGTACCTTTTAATACAGAAATATCTACAAACAAAAGCAGCCTTCACATATTAAAATACTAGAAAACAACCTTTTAATAATGAATAACAAAATGAGACCCTGAAGTATTGAAAGTTTCACATGCAATAAAAAAAATAAACCCCTTCACACTATGGTTCAAAATAAACCTTCACTACTTGAGGCATCATACATCAACTTGATACAAGAAATAACCTTTCAACAACAAAAAAATACAAAATTAAAGCAGTTTTTTGCACTAATAAGACATTACAAATCAAAATTATCTTTAAACTTCATATGAATTAAGTACACCAACAAAGTTATTTACAAAAAACTACATTCTTGTATAAAAGTATGTATAAACTATCTCGCATATAATGTAGACCCATACAAATTTACATATATACAACCTTAGAACTGTCTCGGTGACCTGTCATGGCCTGGTGGTTAGGCCACTAATTTACGATCTGCATGTCATGGAATGAAAACCCATTGCCAAACATACTCATCCTTTCAGTTATGGGAGTGTTATTATATAATGATCAATCCCACTGTTCGGTGATAAAGAAAAGCCGAAGAATTAATAGTGGGTGGTGTAACTAGTTACTGTCCCTTTAGTCTATCACTTGAAAGTTAGGGATGGCTATCACATATAGCCTTCATATTAACTTTGCTAGAAATTCAACAAACAAACAAATGTATTTTCTGATCATGAAGTAAGTTCTATGGGTTGATGTCTCAATGACAGACTTCCATGAAATGAAGGTAGGCTAAACAGTGGAATAGCTGACACATATATGACTTTACAAATGATATTCATAGTGATTCATCATAATGTTTTACTACACTGATCCCTTTTGGGAATGAATTTCATCACACTTTTTTTTCTCACTACCTTTGTAGAAAAAAAGAACTTCAGTCTGACCATGTTGTGATGATTCAATTGTTTCATGGTTAATTACACAAAAGGAATCGTCTCCAATAATTTGTGAGCCAGTCCAAGGAATTTCCTGTGGTGTGCCAAAACTGTAGTTGCCTTCCCAGTAAAGGTGTAAAACATGAACTATGGCACATCAGGTTCCTAACCTGGATATCCTGAAACTGTAGTTACCCTTTACCTTGAATTACTGCAGGTCTTAGGATGTGCTTTGCAGCACTAATATAATGATCAACAACTGGCCAGTTGACAACAGCATTGCCAGAAGGGCTAAGAATTTGGTTTCAAATAGGTAAAATCGGGATTCAAAATGCTAGGTCCAGTAGGTCAGGAAACCCCAGTCAAAACTATGTGTGTCTGGTGAGACTGCATAGTTTGGTATCCATATAAGCTATCGTAATAGATCAAACACTTTTTGGATGCCATCCTTTTTTTTTTTTAAACCGTGGAAGCTCACTATCATCAACATTTTGCTTGCCTTTGCAGCTGTCTCAGTGTGGCCAGGTGGATAGGGTGCTCTACTCGCAACTTGCGGGTTCAAATCCCTGTCCCACAAAACATGCTTGCCCTTTCAGTTGTTGGGGGATTATAATGTGATGGACAATCCCACTATTCATTGGTAAAAGGGGTGGCTGTGGGTGGGGATGACTAGCTGCCTTATTTCTAGTCTCTCACTCCTAAATTAGGGACAACAAGTGCAGATAGCCCTTGTGTAGCTTTGTGCAAAATTCATAACAAACCAAACCTTTGCAGCCTTCACTTATTAAAATACTAGAAAACTACCCTTTAACAATGAATAACACAAAATGAAACCCTGCAGTAATGAAAGTTTCATATGCAATAGAAAATAAACCCTTTCACAATACAGTTCAAAATAAACCTTCAAATACTTGAGACATTTCAGCCACAAGTTACACAGAAAGAAGAATAGCTACATTTCTTACTTCTCACCTCCAACATTCCTGCACAGTCCACATTTTCATGCACTTTTAACAAATATGTCATATCACAACCAAATGAAACATTGGGTACATCAAGTTTACACTTGTTATGCAATTTACACTGTTTATAAATTTTACTGGTAGTCTCACCTTGCTCACTAACATTTCAGCTTAACAACTGAAATGCTACCAAAGAACACTTATTAAAACAGTGGTTGCCCCCTAGTAGTACAGCGGTATGTCTGCGGACTTACAATGCTAGAATCCGGGTTTCGATACCTGTGGTGGGCAGAGCACAGATAGCCCATATGTGTAGCTTTGTGCTTAATTACAAACAAACAAAACAGTGGTCAAACTGTGTTTTCCTGCAGGTGTGATGTGGGCCATTCCTTACTCATTTCTGTTTCCTTACAATCCAGTACCTGCTGAATATTTGAAAACAAACATTTGCACAAGTATAAATGGAACAACATCTTACTGTTTTTCATATAATGCTTCACAGGTCAGTATCCACAGCTAAGTGCACAACTACATAACACTCGGATCAAATTCCTGCTTTCTCATCCAAAGGTTGACCTCTGATTGTGTTCTTAGTGGGTGATTCATTTTGTGTTGGACAACACTTATGAATGACTTTTTAGAGTTCTGTATATATGTGTGTGTGTGTGCCACACCTCGCATACACATAATCAAATGCATATTTACTCACATATATGGTTCCAACTTCTACACATTGTCACATATACCAGTAGCTTTGACAGAACATCCAAAGCTTATGAGCTATTACCTCAGTAATTGACTTGATCTACTCTTGTAAACTATGTGTCAGTTGTCAAAGTTCGGTAATGTGCTGCCTTCTGCAAGTGGTAAAATTCACAGTTCCTTACAGCTTTGCTTTTAATACAAAACATGCAATTATCACTTAATTCAGAATTTGCACACCACATGCTATTATGCATGTGATCTTTGTCCACTCATGCTTGGGTGCTGGGGTAGGTAAAATTCTGAGCAATTACCCAATTTGCTGGAAGGAAAGACAGGTTTATATTCCTGAATGCATATGCTTTCTTTGTAAGAAACTAGGCTAATTGATAATTAGCAGAAAAGGAGGTCCCAGGCAGATCTTTCAAGAAGTAAAGTTAAGATGTTTACTTTAACATCTTTCTACATTGGAACTGAACTGAAAGAAGATATTGAAATTTTGAAAAATGTACATATTAACTGAGGGAGTAAAAAATGTGGCACGAGCCCAGTAGTCAGCAACCTGCAGCTCTTTAAGGAGATTTGTTCGGCTCTTGAGCTTTACTTTTACTGTGAAGAAAAGTTGAGATCTATCAGGCATAATGGGTGTTAAAAATTTAATCTCAACCTTTTAACTTTTTTATTTAGAATAGAGTCGTACTGTTAACATTCTAGCTAACTCTCAAAATGCCTTAGAAGGCTTAGGTAGGCAAAAAACAAAAATCCACTGAGGGGAATCAAACCCCCAATTGTTTTTTTTTCTAGGTTACACCATTGAGGCATATTGCAGCTCTCGAAATGTTTAGGTCTTAGAAAAAAAAAGGGTCTTCTTTGAAGAGTTGCCAACCCCTGTATTAGCCTGTACCACAGAAAACAAATATTATGATAGATCTTTGAACTAATAAAAACATGATTTTTAAGTAGCCTACTTTAGCATGAATGTTATGATAAGAACAATGAGGACCATGTACCTAGGTTATCCAACTGTATTGTTCTGCAGTCTCGGAAAACCCACTGAAAAACAATGCTAATTACAAGACTTCCATAATATCTTTTTTTTTCCCTAAAGGGTTCTTTATGACTAGTTTTTAAAACTATGGAGAAATCTCTTGAAAGAGAAATATCTGTTGATGTAATATTTAGTATATTTTTCAAAAGCTTTAACAAATTAATTTAATTTTTTCTCTTGATATCAGATTGCTTCTAAACCATCAAGTAGTGCTCAGAGAGTCTTATTTCCTGCAACAACTGTTACTACTACATCCCAAGTTCATCATCCTGCTTCTAACAGTACACTTGGCATTAGTCAACTCACTCCTGGAACCAGTGCACTTCTTTCTGGAAGTAACAACATGACAGGCCTAGTTGTTTTACCTGCACAGTATCTCACTCAGGTGTGAACTCACTTCATAAGCCAAATAATGGGCAACCTTATGTTCATTACATAATACAATACTTGAATATATGATTGCATTTGTCTGTTTAAACCACATAATTGTCTGTTTGAGCCAAATTTTCCATGTACTTTCCAAAATTACCCTTTTTGTTTTTAATGACAAAATGTAACAAACTGCGTTATTTGTGTAAATTGAAAATTTATGCCTTCTATTTGTGCAGTATATTCTGCTAAAGGTTAATACCTTGAGTGAACACAACCTCACATAAGAGAAAAAGTCATAATTCTAAATTACAGTATTATAAGGAAAAGAAAATCTTTCAGAGTGATGACTCATGCAAACATCACTGCAAATCAGGTGTAGCATGTGTGTGTGTGTTTTCATGATGTTGACTTCCTGTGTCTAATTTATGTAACTTAAAATCTGTTTCAAAAGTTGGTATAAACACTAAACATTTTTTAAAAAGTGACTTTTTTACATAAATGTTTTGGTATTCAGGACCTTGCTTGAGTTGATACTGAGCTGAATAGAAAATATGTCTTACATAGTTTATAATGTATTTGCTATAAAATATTTATATAAGTATGCATGACATACAACCATTATGCTTGGTGAAATATATGTTGCTTTCCCCAGCTTTTAACCTGTTCTTATTGAAGGAGTATTTTGAAATTCTCAAAACTACAGTATGTTCATTTTCTCAGCTTTTATTATGGTTTTGTATCCTAATCTAAATTGATGAAAGCTGATATTACAGGGTACATACACCTCCTGGAATTCCTGGAAAACTAACATGCTCCTGTAAAAGTGCTTAAAAGTCCTGGAAATGTACAAATCTCCTGAAAACTCCTGGAACTATTTAAAAGAAAAAAGTTTTTGTCTGCTCATTTCACATAAACCCAAGAAATTAATATTCTTAAAATTTTTACATGATTACATACACTATAACCGTCATAACTTAGGCCCTTATATATAGTGCATAAGCTGTGAGAAATGTTACCGATTCGAACGCTGTCTGTGTTATTGTCATTAATGATTCATGCATGTGAAATGCAATTTTAACAAATGGCAGTCGTGGGTTTGTTGAAACTTAACAAAGCATTGATTTATCACACTTAATGCTTGACTAAACATGTAAAGCAAATTAAAGCTATGCCTGGCGAGAAATGCACATTTAATGTCTTATGGCTTGATAAACCAGAATCTGAAAATTGGCTTGTATGTGACAGTACAGCCAAACACAATGCTGTTTGTAATGTGTGCAAGAAAATTTTCGACATCTGGAATATGGGCAAAACTGCACTTAAAAGCCATACGAATTAATGCATTTAATAGATTCTGCATGTAAAGGCCCTTTTTTTATTTATAATTATTCACTTGATTGTTCCTGGAAATTCATTGATTCAGTCCTGGAAAACTCCTGAATGTTTTCAGCTTGTGTCTGTATGGACCCTGTATTATTTAAAACTGCATCTTTCAGCTGTTTCTAGCATGGCCATTCTTGCTTGTTGAGAGCGTGTATGTTTGCTATTTTGTTAATTTGAATATTTCTTATAAATCAGATGGGGCTGCAGATATGTGCAGTAGATTTTTTGTTTTATGTTTGCAATCAATCTATAATTGCAAGTAGAAGATTTTAATTTTATGATTCTGCTAAATTAGTACTTTGTTATATTCCTCAGGTACAACAGGGTCAACAAGTGTCATCAGGTGCTCTTTTATCCACCAACTTTCTGTTGTCATCTGGCCAAGGACAAAATATTCTACCAGTACCTGTATCAGCTAATACTGAGACTCCTAACAGCCACCAACAAGCTTATATTCCTATAGCTGCTGCTACTGCACCTCCACAGGGCCTAGAGTCTGTAACACATCAGTCAAATCCTATTCCTGCTCCTTCAAGACATCAAGTTAATGGGTAGGTAGAGAGTTACCAAACTATATTAGGTTATTTGAGTTGATCCTAGGGAGCATGGTTAAGACCACTTTGTTTTTAGATAAACAGTTGTTTCCATCCATCTGTGCATATGAATACTAGTTTTGATATAACAGGCCTCACTTTCTGAATGAATTAGATTTTCATGATGTATTTATTATTTGTGATAAATGAACATCAAAATAACTTTATGCAAGTGTATCAGTCATTTTAAGAAGGACACTAAATATTTAGAAACTACTTGTGTAAAAATAATTATTTCTTCATTATTACCAATTTAACTCTGTACTGTGTAGTGCTAAGTATACCAAATGTATCTTTTTTTTTCAATTTAGTATACAGTGTAATTTTTTAGTTTTGAAATATATCTAAAAGCAAAAAATACCAAATAATAGAGAATTGTAAGATATTTTAATAGTTTAAGTAACCATGATTTAAAAGTAATTATGTGTATGAGCAAAAAAAAGTGGACTTTAAACTTTTTTCCCTAAAATGTGTAAGTCTAGTGGAATTATTCTGGGCTCTGAAGCTAACTTTTTTTAGCAAGTAACATTACAATTTACTTGCAAAAATGCCAGCTACACTGGAAAAAATAAGATAAAAGACAATATGACTGACAAATTGTGTACCATTTGTGGATATAACTAATAAGCTGACATGAATTTTCAGAAAGCATTGACTTTTTGATTTCATATTTTTTAATATACTGTTAAATTTTAGATCTGTGTTATTGCCAATAATTACATTTTCTAATATATACAAAAAATATGTAATAAAAAGAATGAAACACCATGTGCATGTCTGTTACTTGCTGTTGAGCTGGAGGAATCTCATTGAAAGAAATATGAGAATTACATGCAATAAGCTACCAGAAAAATCTTATGGATCAGTTATAGAATTCTGCAATAAATGTTGTTCTCATAATAAGCTCTGTTATTATTATTTTTCAAAGCAATGTAATAATTACGTACAACTGGTCATGTTCATTTCTGGACTATCAACTGGGGAAAAAATGCCATTGCCTCTTGATGGTTGCTATCTTAAGCATACTGTACTGAGTTTTTGCCTGCTAGACACTGCTAATATCATGATAATTTATTTTTACATTACACATATATATTCTCATTTCGAATTTGAACGTGTAACATATTTACATACTAGGAATGCTCTATCAACTCAGCTAAAGGGTTTACCCACTAGCACTTGCTAGTAAAGTGCTATTTTTAATAACTCAAACTACTGCAATATTGAGAGCTGCTATTTGGTGTGATTAAAGTTAATGAAAGAAAAAGAATCATATTTTTGTCTGAAAACTTCTGAATTATTCTTTCTTATTTCTCTATTTGCTTTGAAATAAATTATTAAGATCACCATAAACATGGTATTGAGGTATAACATATATATATCTGCCAAAAGCTAAAGAATTTTGTCGTTATATATATATCATACACAATTGAAGCTATACTTTTTTTGCATCTGAAATAAGTAGTTTTTCAGATTTTTTTGTTTCCTGCTATTAATAGTTTTTGTAATTTCTCTCACATGGTGCAATTGGGGCTGCTGAATCTTGACCGCTGTTGAAAGAACTAGCCAGGTGAAACAGAATTTGCTGTCTGTTCCACTTTATAAACCTGTTCAATTTTCTTTTTCCTCAATCATAAAAAGTTGGTGGATACTTTCTCTAATTGATGGGTGTATTACCTTTTCACTGTTACTGTTGATTGACACTGATGTCTTTAAGCAGCTCCTCAAACAAACAATCTTCGAAAATGACTCTCCAACTAGACTAACTACCACTGTCATTCTCCTTTGAAGATAAAAAGTTCCTTTCTTTTACACAAATTACCTATGACACTGCAAGATCAGTCTCATATGCTTTTGAATACTTAGTATGTTCTACAAATGTGTGTGTGAGTGGATATTATATTAGGCATCTTGTCTGATTGGAGCCCACCCATTATAATGACCAGTCAAAGCATGATAAAACAAATTAACAATTATTTATGCTTATTTGACATTTATATTGTAATATTTTTTAAATTTATACCTCTCAGAACATGATTGAAAATTAATGCATAATAGATAAATCTTATTCTTTGTTTTGAATAGTTAAAAATTCGAAAATGGTGTAATTAAAGTTGAAATAATTGCAACAAATACTTTACATAAAATAACTAAACCCCTTTTTTTTCTTAAAAATGTTATATTACTTGGTTCACTTTCTGTTCAGTCTGTTTGAATATTATTTCATGGAGATACCATTAGAAGTTTTTCAATTAAATTGTAACAAGTATTCATGAGACTGGCTGAAATTATATTCTTCTGAATGAAATTTCAGTCATCTACAAATATGAATTAATTAGATTAATAGGGTATTGCTCTCTCACACTTTGTAATAGCAGTAGTTTTAAAAAGGCTATTTATTGAAGTTTTCTTATGATGGTTATGGTCATCTATAATGTATAAACTAATATTTTTTGGTGTTCTATAAGCAGAAGTGAAGTATAAAGAATAGTTTTTGTGATATTGTAGGGTGGCTCTAGATTGTAAAGAAAGAAGACCATGCAACTGCAACAAATCCCAATGTTTAAAACTGTAAGTTTAAATCAGTTTTAAATTATGCTTTTATAATTATATGATCATATAATTACTATCTGGTATATATTTTAGCTATATTTAACTTTGATTTTATAATTCTCTTTTAAAGTTTTCGATGCCTAGAGACATATTTCCAGTAATAAATCAACCATTTACTTTCTCTGTGGGGAATATCTTTGTACAAGTAAAGTTGTTGTTTGTGTTAAAGTCTGCCAAAGGCCCTTTTTAGATCTAGAAAGCGTAAATAAGCTCATTAATTTAAACCATTTTACAATTAGATTGAGTTGTCAATAACCTTAATGGTAAATTGATATTACTGTTTCAAGTATATTTGTGCAACTTGTTTTACCAATCATTCTGAATAAATCACTTGGATGGAAAGTCTTTGGTTATATTTCTGAAGTAGTTGTTCCAAAATATGTTAACTTATTTGATTTAACAATCATATATCTTGTAAGATGTTATACCTAGTAAATTGTTTATATTTGTTACAGACAATATGATTGCTGGTATTTTTGGCATGGTTGTTAAGACCTTTGTTTACATTGCCTTGTCTTAATTACAGTATGCATTGAAATGAATTTCATAACCTTTGTGAAGTTTCGAATGTTTTACATTCTATTTCCGTCTTTATTTTTTTTATTCTAAGTAACAATTTTTTTTCCGAATTATGAACACTTAAAATTATAATCAATTTCCTCATCAGTGGCTAATCAGTATAGCTGCTTTAGCAAATGAGAGTCAGGAGATTTCAAAAAAGTGAATTCTAAGTGAATCAAGATCATTCTAAAATAAAGTTTTTCACCATTGTAATATCAGCCACTGAAATGTTTCTGTAACATTCATGATTATATACGTTATTCAAGTGCATAAAATTTGTTGTTTTCTTGCTTAATTTGAATCTTAAAGTAACTAACAATAAATGGCACATTGTTTCTTCCTGCTCGCTTCTGATATAATTTAAAGAGTAAATATCAATGTATAAGGAAGTGCATAATTTAGTTTGATGTTTTTAGTGTTTGAGTAATGACTCTCCATCTTCTAACCCACCTCTTTTTTTTTCTCTCAAGCAATACCAGTTCAGTCTGCCATGATGGTGTAAACTTGTTTGTCTCTAGTTGCCTATGATTTTTTATTTAGCAAATCTGATTTGTGCTTTAGGTGAAACTCGGTTAATATAACTGAGAAACTGGAATGAAATGAAGTCTCACACGTGTGTTTTGTGCTTCAGAGGGTAATCAGAGTTGAGATGTTATTGTTGACAAAAATGAGTTTCTGCACACACTAAAAAGTCATGGATATAAATTGGTAACTAATGCCCAGCAAGTAGTTTATCACTTTTGGGTGAACAAGTACTTTATTGTCCATGGGGCCGACTACGTAGTTCATTGCATATGCACATATCCATATCTTGTGGGCTTGATGATATAGTTTATCACTTGTTGGCCTAACTTGTTGTTTAAGCCATTTGAGTTTAAACATGTCATTTATCATTCACGATCCAGACCAAAAGGTTTTATATATTTGCTATAACTGCAACACATTCATTGAAATTATTCTATTTTTTGTTTTTGTTTTAGTACTAAAATATTTATTTTGAAAACTGTACATCCTGGAAATTTTATATCTAAAGTTTAAAAGTATTTTATTGAACGCACTTACACAATAAAAGTTTGATGCTACCAACTCCAGAAATATAATGTACAGTGTTAAATTTTACATGTGTAAGTTACAAAACCCTTTAATTTAAAATTGTTGTTTAGTGTTCACCTGATCAATGTATATTTATTACTACAAGTTTTTCCTAGAGTATAATAAAAGTACTTAATTATTTGATCTTGTAAGGTTTTGGTTGCATACTGCTAAGAAAATTAGCCAGTGAAATGAGATAGAGCCGTTGTAATGGTCCTTTTGATTAAGCATTATTATGAGTCCTAAGTAGGAAATAGATAAATATAATTTTTTTTTACTTGAATTTGTTAGTTTTTAACATATGAAAATATATTCAGTTTATTGATTTTATATTTATAGCTACTGTGACTGTTTTGCCAATGGAAAGTTTTGTAATAGCTGTAATTGTGCAAACTGTTACAATAACCTTGATCATGAGGAAGAAAGACAAAAAGCTATCAGGTCATGTTTGGAAAGAAATCCAATGGCTTTTCATCCAAAAATAGGTATTGTTTGATTTTATGCAGACTTATAAGCTACATTTTTTTTTAAAGTTCAAACTCATTTTGAAAATGTTGAACTAAAACTTTTATAGGTCTTTTAAGATTTTTTTTATAATCAATTTATTCAGTACCAGAGGTGGACATGTACATCATGAATACCTTTAACTTCATGAGATATTATTGAAATGTATGACCAAAAATATTGTTAACAGTAAGATTATTTAGTTGATTGATCAGTGCATTGTAATCATTGTAGATTTTAATTTTCTAGTATATTAATTTATGACATTAGATACTTCTAGTTAGTTTGTTATACAAGATTAGCTTCATTAATTTATAAGTTACTTCTTAATTCTTGTCTGTATAGTTGGCTTACTTTTGATTCAAAGTTATCAGTAACTCCTTTTTTTACTTACTTAAAACAAATCTAGAATTTAAATAAATAAACTTTTAAAACAGCTATATGACAAAGTTTCTACAAGTTTTATTTGTCAGTATCAGGTATATTACAGATTCCTTATTTCACATCCCATTGCCATAAAAACACACTTCAAACTTTGGGGCCACAAGTGCACTATAGAAATGATGGTCAAATTTCACTACTTGGTCAGACAAAAGTTGGCAGTGGGTGCTAGTGACTAGTTACCTTTTATCAAGTCATATTGTTTCAAATTTAGGAACAGCTAGTGCAGATAGCTCTTGTGTAGCTTTTATTGAATATCTTAACCAAACTATAATAAATTAACAATTTAAGCTGAATTAACATAAACATTGCAGATTAAAGTTTAGCACTGGAATCAGCGGGCAACTTTCAACAAGTTACTTTAAATATATAACTATATATCATATATGCACAATAATATTAATACTTTTCAGTGTATAGGCAAAATAACTAAAAATCTCTACTGAGAATAAGGTAGCATTCTAGATCATTCAGTAAGTTAAAAGTTTGTCTTTCTGTTGGTTATAAATTATGTAAGAGCAAACATCAGATAGAATTATTAACAATTTGTGAAAGAGAGGACATCATAGTGGGGTGATGGAAAAGTAAAAAATAGGCAAGTCGGAGTGAACAAATGTCATTTTACACAGACAAGGGAAGGTTGAGAATTTATTTAAATATTTCATATTGAAATTAAGAAATTAAACCTTGTAATAAAATTCAGTTTATTAGCTGTATTTTGATGCCAAGTTTATTTGTATACATTCATAATAAAGTAGTTTAATTAAATTATGAATGTAAATCTTAAAAAATCATGACATGCATTTGTCTTATTATCAAAAAGGGTTAACATAGAACATTAGTCAAGGAATTAACTAAGTTCCTTTTTCCCTAATTACCTATTTTCCTGTATCATTTATCTAAGGTTTCACTTGTGTCTTTTCCTGGGAGAGAGTTCTGTAAAATTATGCATACTATGTAGAAGTAGACAATGATAATTTACATTGGCAGGTTGGGTGACCCTCAAGGATGTAACCTTCATTGTTTTCTGGTGTTAATGGCAAACAGTAGCATGGGCAACACATAAGCTCTGAGAAGAATAGCATTGTTATTTCATGTATATAATGCTTTCTTGGATTGATACAGATTTTAAAGTCAGTTCTAGAGAGATACAGATATTGATAAAGATACAGAAATTTCTCTTCAATAAATACATTCTTTCTGATTGTTTTTGAGAATTGTATAAAGAGTGTTTCATTTTATTACTTATTGTGTTGACTATTCTGTTTCATTTTTTAAACTCAGTTAATTCTTTCCATATGATCATCCATTTCTGCATGTCATCAAGTTTTATTGAGTTTCGTTAAAAATTTAATTAAACTGTTTTATCATCATGGTATACGAATGAACTTGGTATCAAATGATATCAAAATCAAATTTTAATATTATATAAGCTTTAAGTTCTTAATTTTATAAGAAAATATTTTAAAAATTCCTTAATCTCCCCTAGTATGAACAATGTGATATTTGCTCTCTCGGTCTTCCCTCTTAATTTATTTACCAACCATCCAAGAAGTATGGAATTCAACATGAAATACTCATTATAATATAATTATTACTCAGACAAAGCATGATTTTTATAGCCTTCAATTTTATTTGTTTATGGAGTCATAAACTAGAAAATCAGGCCCACCTGTAACATCTTGTCTTTCACAACTTGCCAATAATTCTCTCTGATGTTTAATATAGTATTTATGTCCGATAGAAAGCTCAACTTTTAATCTATCAAATAAAGTATTATGTTATTTTCTGTACACAGAATTGTCTATTTCACTTCCAGTTAAAATTTTATTCCCATGGGAAATACATCGATGAACTTAACTGAATGTTTAACAGTTCTTATCTCATAATTATGTGCTTTTTATGTGTTATTATTCTGTGCTCTTAGGTGCATTATTTAATTAAATAAAATATATTATTTAATGCAGTAGTACCAATAGTGTAAAAAAATGTGACTGCAAAAAATAAAAGACCCAGGAAAGTACAATATTTCTTATTTTTCATTTGTATTCTTTATTTATTATTATACAAGTAATTCAAATGTGAAAATGAGAAACATTTTAGGTTAGATTAGGTAAAATAAATAAGAATAATTAAAAATTTTCATGAGGTATGCTCCCAAGTAGCCCATGCATTATGTAATTTGATAAGGTAACATGAGCTACATGTTCGCAAAGTGATTTACAACTTGTGTGGTGGGATTATTAATTGCACAGGTTCAAAGTGCAATAAAGCAATAAATTTAAGTATAAATAGATGTATACTGTTACAAGTTCAAAGCTACTTAGGATAACAAATGTAGTGTCATGTTTCCATTTGAAGTCATTCTAGAAAGAAAAAAGGGTAATTTAGATATATTTCTTATTTTTTTATAGAGGTTATGAGGTTGGTCAAATTGACCAACCTTGTATAGAGTCACAACAGAAAAAATAACATAAAACATAAAGTTTTACTGAAAAAAAAAACATTTGACATTATTTAGAAAGTTTTAAAGATTGTTCAAATGAAATTTGACAGTTTTCAGATGAAGAAAAGTATTTTTAATCTTAACATAAAAATAACTTTGCACTCAGAGCAGTCAACACTTTTACTACATATATTCATGGAGTAATATTTAGTGAAAATACTTCATTAACAATTCTGATTTTTTATCTACAAAAGACTTAAAGCTTACAGAATTTTGTACAGATAGACAAAGCATATTAGAAGTTATACTATGGAAACTATAACGGTTAATTTGGGGTATTAAACTAAGCAGATTTGACCAAACCTGTAGCAAGAGTGTTAAAGTCACACAGTACTCCTAGTTAAAAAAAAAAATCTTGATAAAGTATGGCCTGTTGTTGCTATGTTATTTGTGTTAGTTTTGAAAATGTATATTTATATGAAAAATACTGTAAGTTACTTATTATTTGCGTGGTATTAACTTTCGCTATTTTTGCGGTATATACATTTACATGAATGGTAGTTTCACTGAAATAAAAAGCCTTTATAAGTAATAAATAACAAATGAAACCCAAACAGATATATACAAGCAAATATTATTTATTCTTTAGCACATTCATGAAGCACAGTACTATGTAAATGACAATTACAAAACAATAAATCTGTTTACACATAATAATCAATGGGAACATGCAAATGATAATCATTCAAAACCTACTTCAATAAAACCTGATAGGATCAGCTCAAGTCGTTTACTAATAACCTCATGGTTTTAATAAGTCAACCTCTGTGGATTTGTTTAAAAATGGCCATGTGCTAGTTCTCTGTATATGGGCTGCCTCTCAATAAAGACATAACCTTGCTGGCTTACCAATGAAGGAAGTATTTTATCAGTTCATCTTTAAACTTTGTTTACTGACAATTCAGTGGCTGCATTCTATCTGTGCAATATAATTTTAGGGTTTTACAAGCTCTCATGAAGTAGGGGATGACCATCTCGTCGACGTACCTAAACATTCTTTCATTGGTTGACCACTGTGTCTTGGTATGCGTGATATCCCAGCCACTAGGAAAGTCAACCTTTGGACGGCATCTGTCTGTTTTGCCAGCATATATCAACTGCGACGATAACATCTCTCTGGCTTGGATCATTGCGAGTGGGGCTGTTAACTGTTGCTTGTTTGATATTGCTAAAAAATTGTAACTTGTAAGCTGTAAACAGCAAACAACGAGGAGAAGTCAGCTGTAGTCAGTTAAGAACCTGCAGTGCCTGCCATAACATACCCAGACAAGTTCATTGGTTTCAGTTCAGTTGCACAGCGTGATTGCAATGGTTTATAGTATTAAAATGTTGCTTAGAAAAATAGAATGATGTCTAAAAACGTTTTTAATTGATGTATTTTCAATTTAATTTTTCTGCGAAAGTTAAAACCCACAAAACAAGTTTCAGTGTAAAACCATGAAAAATAATTCCTGCTAATATTAAGGAAACTACAGTTTTACTCAAAATGATGTACAAAATCAGTGTTTTGTCTTCATTGTTATGAAAGAGGTACATTAACATTACTTCATCATAGATTATTTACATAATATACTTCTTCATAGAGATATCAGTAGAAAAAGTTAAAAGGAAAAGAAAACATATCAGGAGTTAGAAATATTACAAAAATTTAAACCAGAAAGTTATGGTATCTATGATATACAGGCTAAATGAAAAACTCAAAGTAGCCAAAGTATTTTGGGACATTGTGAACAAATAGAAATATCTAAAGTCTAAAAAAAGAAAAAAACATAAGTAAACAAATAAAAAGAAAAAAAAATTACAAGTTAGTCCAAGCTTCTTTTAGAGATTCCTAGTTCTCCTTTTTGCTTATTCTTCCTGACACACCAGCTTTTTGATTTCAGTTTATTGTACAGACTCCATCCATCAGTAATATTTTGAAGAGATATATAATTTAAAATCAAACAATTCAACACTGTTTCAGAAATAATGGTGTTGCCCGAGGAGCAGAGTTTATATTTTTAAGAGATATATAATTTAAAATAAAAAATTTCAACAATGTTTTAAAAATAATGGTGTTGCCTGGGGAGAAGTTTGATATTTTTAAAATGTATATATAATTTAAAATAAAAAAATCAACAATGTTTCAGAAATAATAGTGTTGCCCGAGGAGTAAAGTTTATATTTATTGGGAAAGAGGTTAACTTTGTCACACTAATTAAAATATGTTTGTGTTTTGATTACAATGTTTAAGAAATCCATGTTTGTTTTCTAGCTAGTACAGTAAAATTAGAGGAGAAGAAATGACTTGTCAGTTTTATACCATGTAAGATTTACTGTAGAAAGAAACAGTACTCCAGTCTTAATTTGTAACATTTAAACTTGAAACTTGTATTTTGAATTTAAATGACAGTTCTGTTGCTGTATTTGTAATTTACTGTGTATAGTTTTATATGTGGAATAATTCTGTTATTGTAGAACTTTTTAATCTCTTGTTTTTTTTTTCTTTCTTAAAAATACAGTGGTTGGATAATTTTATTTAATCCAAAAGTTACTGTAATGTACCTTGTAGATTTAGTGAAACTACATAACTGCTTTCTTTCCAGGAAAGTCCAAAGAAGGAGACCAGGAACGAAGACATACAAAAGGTTGTAACTGTAAGCGATCTGGGTGTCTAAAGAACTACTGTGAATGTTATGAAGTAAGTAATAAAAGGCACATAAATATACATGTATATATATATTTTTTCTTTGTTTTATTATAATCAGGGATGCAGTCAGAAAAAATAATTATATAATGTTATGTTTACACTAAAAACCTCATTTTTGTAATTTTTAAAATTTAAAGTTATGTACTTGATAATATCTATTTAAAAAATTAGAAATTTCTATTTTGAAAATTTAGAAGAAATTGTGATATTGGAATTAATTCACAAGATTTAGTTGGATTGAGAGGTCTAATTACACAGGCCTGAGAATTTAAACTTTGTAAAAGTTGTTTTGGTTTTAATAATGGATTTTTCCATAATTCAGCTATGCAGATTTCAAAAATAATATTACTTTTTGTATCACATAAGGATTTTTTTACAAATAAGGAAGAAAAAAAACTTTCTTAAATCATATTATTATTTTGTTTACCACAATGAAAATTTTTGTGTTATTATGTTTGTTAACAAA